ATTCCAGAGTGTTAACAGTGAGATTAAGTTGTTAGCCAGACTGAAGACTATATTGAATTGCTTTAAAAAAAAGTGTTGTGAATCAACTTATGACAAATGTCAAGGTCTTTGTATAAGGCACGGTCATGTTTTTAATCTTTGATGTATGATATGTTGACATGGCCTTTGTATAAGGCGCGGTCATGTTTTTAGATATTTTGACAAGGCCTTTGTATAAGGCGCGGTCATGTAGTTTGATAATTTGACAAGGCCTTTTGTAAAAGGCGCGGTCATGATGTTTGTCTGACAAGGCCTTCAGATAAGGCGCGGTCATGTTTATTATTATGCTTTGACAAGGCCTATGTTGTAGGCGCGGTCATGTTGAGCTTGACAAGGCTTTTAACTGTACAAGCGAGGTCGTAATGTGAAAATTTTTTATTAAGTTTTTCAGATGTGTTCAAGACCGGAAAATGGACCTCATCCTGGACAACACCAAATTCTGATTTAAAGACTCTGGCGGAGCAGCTACCTGACATTTGTTTAAGTCCAAAGGCTCAAAATACCAGGAAGAAATACGAATACGCCTTTAATAACTTTCGTAAGTGCTGGGTTTCTTATAGTATTGTTCGTATTCCGGCTTCGGATTTTCATGTAGCATTATATTTGACCAATCTCAGAAATATAGGAAAAGCTATTGGTTCAGTTGACGAAGCATATTATGCTATCAGTTGGGCTCATAAATTGGCGGGAATGTCGGACCCTTGTTCATAGGAACTTACAAAATCAGTTCGTGAGGGATGTTGCAGAAGCATTGTACAAAAAACGTGTAATAAAAAGTTACCTATTACACCAAACGTTTTAAGAAATTTGTGTGTACTATACGGGAATGAATCCTGTAATTTACCAGACGTCCGTATTTGTTGTATGTGTTTACTTAGTTTTGCTGGTTTTTTGAGAATTTCAGAATTGCTTAACATCAAAAGATCAGATATAAATTTTAATGAAGATTATATGTCTGTCTTTATTGAGAAAAGTAAGACCGATTGTTATAGAGAGGGAAGTTCGATCATTATAGCACGCACTCATGAAATTTCTTGTCCATTTAGAATGCTTTTAAGATACCTTCTGCTCGCAAATATTTCAGCTTTATCTGAAGAGTTTCTATTTCGACCAATCAGTTTTTTGTAAAAAAAAAAAAAAAAAAGAAGAAAATCATATGTCTTGAGAGGGGATAAAAGTATTTCCTATACAACTGCTAGAGAAAGTTTTAGAAAGGCTATTCAAGCAATTGGTTTAGATAAATCAAAATACGGGCTACATAGTTTGCGAGCCGGAGGTGCCACTGCTGCTGCTAACAAAGGTGTTTGTGATAGAATTTGAAAAAAAAAAAACGTGGTCGTTAGAAATCAGATTTTGCCAAAGACGGTTACGTTGCAGAAAATGAACTTGTAAAAATATCTGTTACTAAAAATCTTGGTATTTAAGGCGGGTTGTACATATATTCCTTCTTTCTTTATTTTCGAGGTCTGTTGCACTCGCGCAGGCGAGCTGTTCCTAATCTTTGTGTTTTGAGTTAAGTTTATAAATATTTTATGTTCGTTTGAAAAGATGAATTAGAACATAAATATATTTAAAAAAAGATATAAGTAACACGTGTTCGAGTGTTGATGTTTATTGTGTATCCAATCTGATTGGTTGTAAAATAAGTTACTCAGGCGTATCGACTGTTACCTGAGTACGTGTTTTAGGTATTGATAGTTTAGTTATTCGAGAACTCGCTGCCTATCGTGCAACAGACCCCCACCCGCCCACCCATGTTTTGCTGAAATATCAATGTTAATCAAGTATTTTTTTTATATTGTAGAATGGTGAATGAAGAAAAAGAATTTTTTTTCTAATGTATTATATAATTAATAAAATGTCTGTTGCACTCGCGCAGGCGAGCTGTTCCTAATTTTGTGTTTTGAGTCAAGTTTATAAATATTTTATGTTCGTTTGAAAAGGTGAATTAGAACATAAACTAGTTTATACTGTTTTACCCTTGTGTGTCTGTCCGTAACAACTTTTTGGTTGCAGTTATCTCAGCAAATACTCATCACAGATGCATGAAATTTGATCACACTCTTTGCTTAGGCATGCCATATGCTGGGATTCATTTTTGTTGAAATCCAATGTCAACTTTCTGTTTATCTGTGTGTTTGTCCGTACCACACATAAAATTTTTTTGTTGCATTTTTGTCATCAACTACTGATCGCAGATCCTTGAAATTTTAGCCCACTTTTCGCTGATGTCAACTTTCTGTTAATCCGTGTGTCTGTCCGTACCATACATACAATTTTTTGTTGCGGTTTTCTCGGCAAACACCCTTTGCAGATGCATGAAAATTAAGCACACTATTTGCTGAGGAAAGCCACGCTGGGATTCATTTTTGTTCAAATCCGATGTCAACTTTCCTTTTATCCTTGCGTCTGTCTATTCCATACATAACAAATTTGCGTCGCAGTTTTCTCAGCACTACATGTACTCACTGCAGATGACTGGAATTTTAGCACATTCTTTGTTTAGGCATGTCATATGGTGGGATTCATTTTTGTATGAAATTGATGTCAAATTCCTATTTATACGAGCATTTGCCCGTAACTGAACTTGTGTATAAATATGATGATGTATATTCATATCAGAGCGGGGGTATTTCTAGTGAGCATTGGCATTTTCTGGAATTATTGCTGTCATCTCATTTTACTTAATACTTACTAGGTTAACAAAAACATGTTTAGTTCAAGTTCATGGAAAGTAAAAGATGTATTTTGTACTTCCGCCCAACGAGCAGTGAGAGATCTTTTTTGTGCCAGCACCTATACAGGGCCTCGGTTTATGCTCACCGGTCTCGTCTGAAGGACTGGTCTCCACGTTGGATTCTAACCCGCGACGTAAGGATCAACTGCTTTCTTCGCGACTCTAGAACAGACGCTCTAACCACTGCGCCACGCAGACGAAACACTTTCATGCGTATCTAATGTACATTGCCAAGGGAAAATCAGTGAACGAACGAAACTCGTTTACCTTTAGCACTGTTCAGTAAGTTAATCATGCGAGTGTCCGGCATGATGAGATGTTTGACGTATTCATTTAATACCCTCAAACTTACCATTAGTCTCTCCTCTAATATTCAATAACAAGAGGCCCATGGGCCTTATAGGTCACCTGAGTATCATGAAACAACTTTCCAACAATTGAATTTTGTTCGTGTTTTAAACCAGAAGCCATGAAATTCTTAATCAAGAAAGAGGCACCATTGCTTATCATAATTATACACTTAGCATGCTTACTCTAGTTACCTAATACCCAGAGTTAGATTAGAGTAACAAGAAGAAGTTGCATTTCCACTTTATAAACAGCTGTGCACCCCACCAAATAGGAACCACTGAGCCTGGGGCCACATATTTCAAAATTTTGGTAATTTTATCATAAATTTTATTTCATCATAAATGGTTGATTAATACCACAGAGCAGATTTCAAAGCATTAATTTATTTTCAGACTATGTACTGTAACCCCCCCCCCCCCCCGATATCCCTTACCCAGGGAACACGAAATTAAGCATTTTGCTAGATTCACCTTTCTTCATCATAAATACATGTATATATACCAAGATCATTGTCATAATACCAAGGAGCAATGGAAAAGATTTTCTAAGAATTCATGCATTTTTCACTATGTAATCAATCGAGCCCCGCCCTAACACCAGAACCCCTGACCCTGGGGCCATAAAATTCACAATTTTGGAAGATGCACTCTTGTTCATCATAACTATATACTAAATAAGTTTAAAACCCAGGGGCAGAAAGGAAGATTTTCAAAGAATTAATGTATTTTTACGATATAATCAATCAGAACCCCTGAACCAGGGGCCATGAAATTCACAATTTTTGAAGAGGCACTCTTAGTCATCATAACTATGTACATGGCTAGTTTAATACCCAGGAGCAGAGGAGAAAATTTTTAAAGAAATAATACACTTTTACTATATGATCTATATAGCCCCACCCTAACACCAGAACCCCTGACCCAGGGGTCATGAATTTCACAATTTTGGTAGATGACTCAAAGCTGATTACAATCATGCCAACAGCTTGACGTCCAGGAGTAAAGAAGATTGATTTATTGATTGTATATTGTTTAACGCCGAGTCGGCAATTTTTCTGCCATATTTTGGCGGACTAATTTAACTGATCGGTTTTTGAAAGTTTTTGGTTTCTCTGGCGGTCCCCAGTGAGCCTACTCTTTTTCGAACTCCAGAGAAACGATCTTATAGTGAAGAAGATTAATAAAGATTGCATTAATTTAGTGGTTTTGGTCCCACCCCTCAGGCCCAGGGGGGGCAGGGACCATGAAATTCACAATTTTTGTTCCCCTTCACCCGTAGATGCTGTATACCAAGTTTAGTTGAAATTGGATCAGTGGTTCCAGAGAAGAGGCTAAAAATGTTTAAAAGTTTACGAACGACTACAACGACGGACGAAAACAGATAGCAATAGGTCACCTGAGTTTTATCGTGACCTAAAAATGGTGGTTTTTGGTTCATTACCTAGTTTCCAATAACTGCTTTAATAGGTGACATTGCTGGTCATTCATTCCATTTTTTTCAAGCCAAGCTACAGTTTTGTAGCTAATAGTAAAGCATTAGATAGCTGTTCGAAATCCAAACAGATGTGACAGGAACACATGAAATAAATTCTTTGTATACTGCTATTTTTAAAAATATGTCTTTCAACATGATGTATGTTAAAGTGTGGAGAGAAAATGTCATTTAAACGATCATTAATAAAAACACAAAAAATGTTGACAAAGATTGAAAGAAAAATACCTTAACTATTCAATGAACAAAGCAAATAGTTGGCCAACCATTTAATATGAATCTATTAAAAATCAGTATACATGTAACTTGAGAGAGTCGTTTAAAATCCAACTATCTGAAGTTATTTGAACTTTAATTATATTGATTGCACATTCTGTAAACTAAAATGGGTTTGTTTTATCGACGCATTCACTGCGGGTCATGTGTTCTCTAAAGGAAGCAAATCGTTTACTTCTCTCAAAAGGTAAGTTAAATATGTTTTAAGCTAGACCAGCAGTAAAATTACTTTTAAATGAAGTGTATTATGCTACCTTTTCTTTCAGAATATCAGACATTCTTGAGTGACAGCAGAGGCAGCAGGTGTACTTTCTGTGATGGAGACTGGGGCTACTTTTACGTTTGTCGCACGTGTAATGAAAAGTTTTGTCCATTTTGTCATCTACGTCACAACTTTACACCAAGATTTACGTTACACGTGATTGACTGTGTCATAAACAAGTCGAAAAGAACTGATTTAAAGCACAATTGATCAGTTGATTATAATAAGTATTGAATCAGCTGGTAATTTTGCATTACGTTACATTATAATACGGCAAGGGCTGTTTAAAGATGCATGTGTTTGAATGTCAGAATCTCGATTTTTATTTGAATGTATGTTTGGCTAGATTTACTCTGAAGTGTTGTTAATTAAAAAAGTGTGATACTAAATAATTTAAAGTGCACAAAATGAATAGTCTGTTTTTGCTAATTAAACTTTTTGGTTGAAAGATGGCCAAAAGGCAGGCTATCTAAATCTCCTTTCATATTGAAAATTAGCAATTTTTCTGAAATAGCCATGCTAATTTTTAGCTCTGCTGGTCAGAGACCTGAAGAACTTATGCGATAGTAATGCGTCCGTCGTCAGTCCGTCTAGCTGTCCGTCTGTCTGTAAACAATTTTTCAAAATGCTACTCCTCCTACAGTTTTGATCTGATTTCATTATAACTTGGCACACAAATAAACTACACTAAGATTCATAATTCTGTGTATCGCTTTTTTGATTTTCCGTGGTTACTACAAATAGAAATTTTATGAAATACTTTTAAAATGCTACTCCTCCTACAGATTTAGTCTGATTTCAATATAACTTGGCACACAAGTAGACTACATTAAGATACATAATTCTCTTTATCGGTTTTTGATTTCGATGAACTACTCCTCCTACAGTTTTGATCAGATTTCAGTAGAACTTAGCACACAGGTAGACTACACTAAGATACATAATTCTGTATATCGCTTTTTGATTTCGATGAACGGTGATGCTGTGGTTATTAAAAATAGAAATTTATGTGAAATACTTTTAAAATGCTACTCCTCCTACAGCTTTGGTCCGATTTCAATATAATTTGGCATTCAAGTATACTACACTAAGATACATAATTCTGTGTTTTGGTTTTTGATTTTGATGAACGTTGTTGCTGTGGCTACTAAAAATAAAAATCTCTGTGAAATACTTTTAAAATGCTACTGGAAATACTGTTTTAGTCTGATTATAATACAATTTGGCATGCAAGTAGACTAGTGGACTACATTGAGATACATTATTATCAGCTTTCGTTGTGTTTTTGATTTTGATGAACAATGTTACCATGGTAACTAAATTGAAAATTCTGTAAAATTTTATTAAAGGCTTCTTCTACAGTGTGGTCTAATTGCAATCTTGCCACAAAAAGAGACTTAATCAAGGATCATTATTCTCTGTTTATTGTTTTTGTAAAGTTTTATGACCCAACTGCTACTTTTCTCTTGCTTTATTATAAGTACAAACCAGTAGAGCTACTGTCTCGACAGAGACTTCTGGCTATTATTGAGAGAATCTTGTGTAGCTGAGCACTTTTAAATATGTGTTTTTAAAGCAAAGGTACCGTCAAGAACACTGTAATATGGTAAATTACTAGTATATCATAGCTTTTGGTAATATCAAGTATTTTGCTTTTTTTAATCGGCAATGGCAGACTACCACACTTTTATGTGCAAACAGCACTAATGCATTTAAATTGATTGCTATTTCAGGTTCTTTAAATCCGATTGCAAACCACTCTCAATCCAAGTTTGTAAACAAAACCTTAACATTTAAAAAGAACTTAATTGCTGTTACCCCGGTCGCCAGCGTGGCGCAATGGTTGAAGCATCTGCACAAGAGTCACTGAGGAAAGAGTTCATCCTTACGTTGCGGGTTCGAAACCATTGTCGTGGACGTGGAGAGCGGTCCTTCGGATGTGACCGTATAGACAGTAGGTGATGACACGAAAAAGATCCCTTACTCAATGGCCGTAAGTGCCGAGTGTAGGTAAAATATTTTAGCTCTCCACCAACAAGTGGTGGCGTCTCTATCTGAATGAAATATTCTATAGATGGACGTTAAACAATCAGTCAATTATTAAATAAGCCTGTGAACATGATTAAAAATGTTACTCTAGAAGGTCATGTTCAATAAGGCCATTTTTAAACAAAACAAATGTTTGGTTTCCCTCTCACTCTCTGGGTGAAGTAAGCGCCAGATCCGGACAAGAATTTAAACAGAAAGGCTATTTTTGACCTTGACCCGGCTTTTTTTTACCTTGACCAAGAAAATTCGTTTAAGGTCACTGCGCATCCATTGACCAGTGGCCCTCGGTGATTGAAGTATGAGCCACATTGGACCAAGGGGAAAGGAAGACAGCCTGATCACTAAAGGGCACTCGCAGGGCGGGTTCGAAATGGTGTCTTCCCACTTAGCCAACAATTTTACAAAAATACAGGTAAAACACAGATAAATCTGTGTTGGCTAAGTGGGAATGGGGTACAGGTGGAGAACAAAAGAAATAAATCACAGTTTAGCTATGGTCCATTTAGCTATAGTCTGTATCAGAATAAAATGAAGTAAGTATCTTCTTTTTAATGTCCCCCACTTTCGCAAAAGCGAGGGGACATTTAATCTTATTCGTCTGTCAGTATGTCCGTCCGTCACAAAAACTTTAACCTTGGTCATATCTTTTGAATGAGAAGAGATGGGACTTTCGTATTACACATGTATAGAACCTGTTAGAAGGCCCTTCTAAATAAACTATGTTTTTTTATTCCGCAACCTGGACCTTCATGTTTGACATCTATACTTAACAAATTTTGCAAATAAACTCTGAAACGGCTGCACAAGAGTTCTTACTTAAGCCTGTAGGAATACACTAGGTATAAGGTGTTGTCCGTAAACTATATTCAGAAACCACTCGCATAGCAATTATCGTAAATTAAATTAAAATTCTACTTTCATTTTCGGTTAACTGACTAAAAATAGCATGAAAGTGAGTGAAGTGGTGTTTCCGGTTTGCGGATCTACGTTACTGATATTTTATAATAAAACTGACAATAAGCAATCGTTTATTTATTTCATAAAACGTCATTACTGAATTATTCATTAAAATTTTGATTTAACTGATTTGAAAGAAATAAGCTCTGGTCATTGATTAAAAAAAAAAAATACGCAAAACCTTTCCATTTATGTCCGATCTCAAATCTATTTTGAAAGTTCTAGAAAGTCAGATGGTATCGAACCCGATGTCTTAAAGAAAATATAGGCGATTATTTATTATGAATGGGCATGGAAACTGCTATATTAATGGACTTTGAAGTATTTCGTCATGCTATAAGCCTGTATAAAAAAACTATCAGTAGAATCCGAAATATAGTCTTTGGAATAGTTCTGTTTATAGCAGTTAAAAAATGAATTTTCCCCCGCGCTTGCGCAGAATTTCTGGCATGACGGGGAGAAGCGAACACGTTAAATGTGCAGCACCTCAAGTTTTTGTAGGTATTCATAGATATCCAAATACATTTAACAAGTCCTTTTATTACACAAGAACAGCGAAGAGTGTCATATGTTGAAAACAACGATATGTTGCTACAGTAATCAGTTAATGATATGCTATACACGAAACACTGACTGAAAAACAGGTGGTCAACGTGACTTGGTTAACTCAACAAGGTCTAGGGAACTTTTCCTTCCTCGGATTGTATTTAAATGCTTGATTAAAACCGAGCAGTTAGCAGAATGAGTTGAGTTTGCACTTTCAAAATTGAAAAAGTCTAAATTTTTCAGGTTATTTTTATAATACAGTGACAATAGATAGTTATCGATTGGTCTGAATTTAGCGAGATTTACTTCCCGCTGACCGCCATATTGGAGGTCGACTAGGTGATTTTCCCTCTAATTGTCATACCAAGTTTAAGAAGATGTAGCAGGAATATTTGGTGGAAAATCTTTATTAGATAATTTTTCTTAAATAGAAGAGGCTTCCAAAAATTTATATATTTCAGAAAAATAATGATTCCTAATTTAAAATAGCAAACATAAAAATTTTAAATTGGTTGAACAATTAAGGATAATGAGCATTTGGACCTCCAGTATGGCGGCCAACGGGAAATAATCTTGCTAAATTCTGGCCTATCGAAAACTGTTGATATGAGAAGCAGAGGTTAAATGTCAAAGGAATCCGGAATGTTTCACACCAATTCTGTTTCGCACTAAGATGGTTTGCATCGAGATGATTCGCGTCGATATTTTTAAATATTCAATTATTAGGTTTACAATACAGGGTCAAAAGAGTATAGGAGGGATTTTTCAGGGGGAAAAATTGCTGTGAAGAACAGCAGGTCCAAAGTAACTCAGGTGAGATTTGCAACTTAATGGCCTCTTGATTTTTGAAAAATGGGTGAAGGATATATTTTGATCCATTTTAAAAATTATTAATTATAAGATATACATATATATGTTGTGTGTTAATATTCATGACATTAATATGCACTACCAAATGTTGCGGATCGTATTCAACACATGTTCAACAAAGGATTTAATTGGAGATCAGGGACCTTATTCACAAAGCCTCCGTAAAGTTACCGGACCCGTAAACTTTGCGGAAACAACCCACAGTCGAAAATTCTTATTCACAAAGCCTCCGTAAATACCGCATCCGTAAACGTTGCGGAAAATCTCCGTAAAACATGCGTTATTTTTACGGGAGGTTATGACTTCCCGTAAAGATTCCGAAAATGAGCACTTGCTAAAATAGTTTTTAAGATTAATTGAAATTTTGTCTTTTTAATGTAAATTCAAATATTAAAAATGCAGCAACTTCATTTTTTTAATACGATTTAGAATGGGGGCACAAAATATTTTAAATACACATTATTATTATTACAGTTTAAAATTATCATTTTTACGGAGTTTCTTTTACTAAAAAAAAACGGGTTAAGATTATGCGATTCATATCCAATTCTCGACTTGTACATTCCGATAATGCATTGCGGCGGATGTTGGGGTCAAGCGAGGTCAGGGGTAAAACATGGCGAAGCGTCATTAGAAACTCGGTATCCGTTTAGTTCTTTTGCCGCTTTGAAACACTAATTCATGTCCTGAAAAAACTCTGGATCCTTCGGAAATTGTAAAAATGTGCATGTTACTCCATGGACTCGATGATGATTACAACCGTACGTTACACAAAAATCATTTTTGCCCACGAAAACATCTGTTCCAAAGCTACATGTAAGATGCATATGAGACCTAGCTGAGCAATGCCCTGGCCCAGATCCCAAATGCAGCTAGAAAAACGGGGAACAAGAACAAAGTCCCTACAATATTTTCCCACAAGGTAAGAATGCAACACGTAAAAAAATCGACTGGATTTTAAATACATATGTGTTTTATACATGTTTACAACTGTTTCATGTACTACATTTAAAGAATCGCTGTCTAGTCTG